AATTGGTAGCCTTTTAGAATAAGTATATTTAAAGGATTGATATGTTTATATGGATCGTATCTAAATTTCTGAGTTCGGTAATCAACATTACCGTAAAAGATAAGAATGTGCTATTCCGTTTGAAATTAGTTTTCCATAGGTACAGCCAAACTTCCAAACCAAATCTTTGTATCTATGGAAAAATTTAGTAATTTGTGATAAGGAAATCTGTGAATTAATAATTTACCAGAAATACATAGATTGCAATCAATGCAATCTAAAACGTCAATTCAGACAAGGGCAAAGCGAATGAGTTGGGATAAATAAACACCGTAAGACGTTGCCGAAGGAACATTCCTGTCCCAAAAAGGAAAATTAACAATAAGGAAAGGAAATCGTCCTTTTTTTTCGTAAAGTTTTGTGTAGAGTTAATCGTGTAAAACTGAAATAACTTAATCTAGGAAAGGACAATGTAAATGTTTAAGTTACCCTTTCTGTTAATGTAAAATTCATTTTATAAACGTCGAAAAGAAAACCTGATTTGTTTATATTATCTCCAGCCCATTGTTTGTTAACTAGTAAATTTAAAATTTATGAAATGTCAAAAGGTTATTTATATGCATTGCATCCTATTTTGAAAACTACAGCTTTCGTGAACAGCCCTTTTGCAAGATAGAGCAAATTGGAAGGAACTACACCACATCATGAGTAAAACTATCAATATTGTCCGTTTATCTTGTCTGTGTAGGTGTAATCTTAAAATATTTTGGATTTCTGAATAAATATTGTAGATAATAAATGTATTTACAGGTTACTCAAACATTTCGTAAACATAATTTTATGTCAACAGTAAATACATGTAAAGGAGAAGCAAAAGATACCAAAGAGGTGATCACATCATAAGTCGAAAACGAACTGACATTGCCATGTGAAATTAAAAAAAACCTATAGACAAGCAGCATTATATAAAACACAACATAGAAAACCAAAATGTAGTTTCGTTTCAATTTCATGAATCATACCAAAGGAATTATGATAGTATGAGTACGAAATTTTATCGATTCGAACAAGACATGTCGTTTTACACCATGAGTTTCAAAACAAAAGAAAACAGTTTTTGAAATAAAACACGTACAAATTTCCATTTTTGTAGAGAAAATATGTTTTTTCTTCAACCAATCAAGCAAGGTTCTCGACAGTGACACACGGCTCCGGTTTAATAAAGTAATAATTTTAAGTTACTGATTACAGTCCAATATTTTGAGAAAAAAGAGTTATATATTTCAGTTTTTATTATAATTATTAACCATTGAATACAAATATAATTTGTTTCTTGAAAACAGGCAATTTTAGTGTGAATAAAGTCATCATAGATACCAAAAACCATTGCAATAAATGAGTATGAAATGAAACAGAATATTTTCATACAAAACTATGGGGATATAACATTACTTACATTTAAATTCTGTTAAATATTATCTAAACAAATAAGGAAGATAACACTTCTATAATACTTAAACTGTTTATTTTCTTTATCGGGTAAACATTTAAATTTATTAATGTACAGTGATAATATTTCCTTGTAAAACGACTTTCTCATCTATAAAAACATGTTTTCTGAAAATATTATTCACGATATGCGCGACATTTTCATTGCAGTTATATTTGTTAAATTGACGTGTTATTAGATGTAAAGTCGATAGGAATATATGAACGATGGCAATGTTTCTTTTTGCTGTCTTGTTCAAAAGAACAGATTCCAATCAGACATTATTTGGTATCTTCTAATGGAACATTTCAACGTGTAATGTTAAATTTTGATCCAATTTTTCTCATAGAGCAGGAAGTATAAAATAAGATTGCCTCATTCATTCCTAGATAGAATTACACTCAGAAATCAGCAATGAGGTTCGCTTGAGTCCTTCATTTTAAATCAAAAGAGTCCAATTCAATTGTCATGTTGTTAAATCTCCAAAATTGTAGAGACTGAATATCAAACCATCACTTGTATACAAAACATATACATCTTTTTATGAAAGGATATTTGTATCGGATCGATAAACATTATAACTTTGATTGATAACTTATTTTGGATTGTATGGCGATTATTTTAATCTGATAACATTTTCGTATATTAGTATTGATTTTATGACGGATTTATCCTGAAATTATGATGTGATGAAGTACAGTATACGTTAAAGAAGTGTTACTCCAAATAATGGAGGTATAATTATGAGAAGAAAAGTAAAGTATACAAACTCGTTTATTTCCCCTTTCTCGATTAACCTTTGAATGGTTTTTGATAAAATTGAGAATGGAAATGGGGAATGTGTCAAAGAGACAACAACCCGACCATAGAACAGACAACAGCAGAAGGTCACCAACAGGTCTCCAATGTACATAATGACAAAAAATATCTTCCACTCATCGTAGTCTATCTCATTTTATTTCCTCAATTGTAAAATTGTATGACTACATAGGACAAAATGACACCTAATTTCACTATTTGTATAAAAATAATGATTTCTAAGTAATTACTTGTCATAAATATATGCCCTAATGACAATACATAAACTATACACATTTGTGAATTTAACATAAAATTTTCATCAAAATCAGACCTCAAATTAGTTTTTGACAATGTTTTTAAAAAGTTTGTTTTTATATAAGATAATAGGGGAATTTGGGAAAGTTGAAACACTTTTGACCTAACACTGTACTTGAGATTCATTCTTTTAAATGTACAACACTGATCACGTGTTTGTTAGTATATAAAACTTATGTTCCAATCAATAACTATGCATAATTACTGTAGTTTAAAAACCTTGATAAATGTAAAAGGATCTTTATATCATAAAAGGAATAATTCCTATGGTAACACGAAACACGACAACGGTGTTGAACGTGAAGTAATTATAGACGTTATTGATAAAAAATATGCTTTAAAACGAAATCAATTGACAGTGTTTATAGATTTTGCTCCGTCTAAAACGTTTTTCATGTTTACCGAGTTAAATGCAGTCGATAAAAATAATTTAAACCTAGTGTATAACATATATATCAATCTATTGAATGCAGTCAAAAATGTTATAAAGTTTGATAGGAAAATTGGAAAATATATTCAAATCCTATTCTATTGTAAAACATTTAAATTAGGTATGTTAATGGAATTTGATCAATGAAATAATGAGAATATGCAATTAACAATGGACTACCGTTTTTAGTATTCTATTCACCAGAAAATCGGATCAAACATAGAAATCGATATATTGTATAAACCTACTCATTCCAAACAATATTTGTATGCGTGTTATAATTCGAAATATGAGATGTGTTACACAATACCTTGTATCTAGTATAATTTAAATGCAATGCGTCACATGTATATTATAATTCAGTACTGTTGGTATACCTTAGGATGCTAGTTTAACACAAATGTGAGCAATATCAGATTGTTCTGCTATACGTTTTAATTAGATCAATTATGGGTGTCATATTTTCTTCTCCCTTGTCTTCAAAATCATAATTCGGCATCATTATATTATATAAATCAGTGTTTTTGGTACTCAAGATTATTGTTATCAACAATATGAACAATATTAATTTATTATACTTTTATTTCTGTCTGTAATAAGTGCAAATGTTTTGTCAAAGTAATGAACAATATAAAATGGTATTTGAAATATTAAGTACTCATGATACCTCGGGGTTGATTCATACATATCAGCGTTAACTATATACCGACATTTTTTCGACAATAAACAAGAGTAAAATATTTTTCTTGAAAAAAACGAACAGGTAGTATAAACTAGCACTGTTGTACCTCCCAATGGATGTTTTATTTTAAATGTGAGCCATATAAAGTCACTGTAGATTTATCGTTTCATTAATTATATAAAATCGAATTTGTATATACATGTTGCAATGTTTTCTTTTGATATAATTAGATAAAACTTGTTTGTCCATCGAATTCGTTTTTTTATTATTTACTACATTTTGTAATTTTAATAGACAATCTAAATTTAAAGAAAGAAAATAATTCTATAATAGAGAAGCATAAGGGGAACAAAATAACGACAAACGAATTCGATATATACATGTTCTGTGAAAAAAAAGGAGTTTAATTTATAACATTTTAACATATCTTTTTAATATTTTGTAAATCAATAATATTAAGGTAATGGTGTGTTTGTTGTTAAGTTTAGCACGGATTCATTTGGGTCCAACTTTTCCCTGTAGTCATGCTACTGTGCATTTCCCTTTCACTACTGATATAAAGTAACAGGAAATGTTTAAGCAAACAGTTAACACGATAATGTAACGCACGTTGACTTTCGGTGCTAATATAAAGTAAGCTTGTGACATCTCTTTTGAACATCCGTTTACTTCTGACTACATGGACAAAAGGTAAACGAGCCTTTATTTTAGTAGACATCAAAAACTTCCATTTTTACAGCGTTACAGTTATTATTGTTCATGTGCGTTAACTAGAAAAATGCAGAATATAGTAGTAGCTAGACATACCGAATATGTGCACACGATGTGAATTGTGCGCTTAAATTATTTTTTCTTAGTCTGCAAGCAATTGTATGTGTAAGCTCTGAGTACGTGAGAGTGGTGTCGGGTTTAATATGATTATGTTCGTTTGTACTGTAGTTTGTTGTATTACCTCAAATCAGTGTGATTTTAAACACACATGTATAACAAACAGCATATAGATGCAAACATAATGCTAAGTATTGTTTAAAACTGAAAGTGTATTGTGGGCTTTTTTGCCGATTTGAATGGCTCACGTTGACACGGTTGACTTTTGTAAAACAGGAACATACACGTTATTGCTTTATCCAAAGTTTTATCGAGTCTTCTTATGTATAAGCTAATGAACAAGATACATCATTCGCCTGACATCAAACCTGTACCATATGGCGATATGACTATAGATAATGATTTAGAATTATTATATCATATTCATTTATACCAATCAGTATTTGTTTTGATCAAATTTGTAACATTAATCTTACCTAGGACTTGCGTATTTGCCTGAACCTTGGACTGATTTTCCTCTGGAATAGGTTTGTTTTATTCCCCATCGAAAATAAGTCATTGTACAAATTTTAAATCTTCGAATAAGGAAGTATGTCTCATTTCAATAGTCTGTCACAATAGTTAATTGTTGTGTACATACAGGATTCGGCCTGAAACTGAATATATGTATCTAACGTAACGCACACATGAACTCACATATATTAAATAATTATGATTGAAAATCATTATATGTTACTATTTATAAATTTTACCTGTAAAAACATTGTCAATTCAAGAAACGTGAACAGATTGGATATTGATGAGCATGGTAAGTTGTTTTTTTTGTTTGGAGATAACAACTTCAAAGTAGCTTTTATACTTAATAATAATTTCAAAAACAATGAAGGAAACGATATTTGTATAAACATATTTGTATCTCCAAACCCACTAAGAGGAAATCAATAGTGTAGAAAAATTGTACACATTGTAAGTGTTTGATGCATATACTATTTCTAACTAGTAATACTCGGTATTCATCACATTAACGGTACCAGTTTTACTGCACCGGATTTGCATTTCGACAATTAATGTCTCGTTTTGTTTGGAGATAACAACTTCAAAGTAGCTTTTATACTTAATAATAATTTCAAAAACAATGAAGGAAACGATACTTGTATAAACATATTTGTATCTCCAAACCCACTAAGAGGAAATCAATAGTTTAGAAAAATTGTACACATTGTAAGTGTTTGATGCATATACTATTTCTAACTAGTAAAAGTCGGTATTCATCACATTAAACGGTACCAGTTTTACTGCACCGGATTTGCATTTCGACAATTAATGTCTCGTAAATAATGCTCCGGGACAATATAAGTATAAGACTCATTAACGTGATGAATGTTGCAGGATTTTAAATAGATAAGGATTGTATTCATTGTACATTCAAGTCTGAGATACATCATGTTATATAATAGTTGTATATCGACATGAGAACTGATATTTTCAAGACCCAATCGAGACGTTTAACAGTTCACTGATTTTTAATTTGGATATCATCGAAATTCATTTATGAAGAGCTGCTTTCTCTTTGTAAATATTAGGATGATAACATGTTCGATCACAGTCGCCTAAGCTTAGATGCACAGATGTACATATTCATGGCTGGTACAGTTTCCCTCTCTGGGCTGTTGTTAATACTTTGATGCTTCACATAAAATGCATATCAAAAAAAAATAAAATTCTACAAAATTCCATTAGTATTATTGGGGCATTAAAGTCATGTCAAAATATGACGTCATGAAAATTAAAACTCTCAAGCTGATGCTATTAATTATTTGTACGCTCTTAATTCCCATAATTGATTATCGAAAAAAGAGTTTTGAAGTAGGCGTTGTTGCATCTTTTATTCTATAGCTTTTTCGCACATTGATGCATTTTTGAAAGTTAACATGCATTAGGCGGGTCCTTAGTTACGTCAGGTCCATTATTTGCTTGTCGCAAATTATAGCCATCGAAGATGAATTGTAAATTAAAATTCTAAATATAGAAAAAGAAGATGTGGTATTATTGCAAATGAGATAACTCATCATAAAAAGATTAAATTACACAAAATTACCAACTATAGGAAACCGTACGGTCTTCAACAATGAGCAAAGCCCATCCAAATATGTAACACAGCAACAAACGACAAGCACTGAAATACAGGCTGTTTGGTTTGAGAATATATAGGATTTTATATATTTTTCGTGGGGATATTCAAAAAATAATGCATGCAAGCCACATATATATTTGAAAGTGTTAACTTTATGAAAACGGACCTGCTATTTTAAGGCGTAATTGTACATCTTTGGACTTGGTATTTGTAACAATGTTGATTTTGTCATCCTCAATTTTATGTTGTAAGCAAATCATTCTTTTTTATTCATTGTAAAATGAATGTCTGAAGAGGCAAGACGATGGTTGAAAGCGGTAATAGTAATAACCACGTTTTTCGTTTTTCTGTATCTTATTAATCAATGATGCTATTGGTGTGACAGCATTGTAAGTATTATCATCTTTTATTACTACAGACAAACAGATGATAGGCAAATTAATGAGGGAGTTTAACCTTAAACGAACAAAAGCTATATATCTATTTAGTCTAGTTGGTTTATTAGCATAGGGCGTTTGCGACTGCAGAAAATGTTGCCATGATGTTACATAATCCGGCTGGCCACGTTATTACCGGAGACCTCAACATTGTCAATAACACTTCCCTGCGAAATTTGTTATCTGAAGGTCCGAAATATCGTGAGCCTAAATCCATCAATTGGAAATACAACTTCAAAATACTGATGGATTCAGTCGAGGATTATGCCAGGCAATGGGCTAAACGCGAGAAAGAAGACGTAGATACTCTTTCCGAATGGATTAAGGCTGTGAAGTCGTTGATACAAATCCGAATTAAGAAGCTAAATGGGTCTATCAATACCAACGCTACGTCAATTTTTAAAGACCCAAATGTTGCAAAACACTTGTTCTACCTCCATGACAAATATGTTGTTGTCCCCGAAGATAAAGCCCAAAACAACATAGTTTTTGTGTGTAAATATCATTACATAAACTGCTTGATAAATGAATTAGGTATTAATAATTCATTTGGAAACTCAACATATACCCTCACGACACTTACCAAAGAGGAAATCCTGGATAATCATAGGTCTGTTCTATGTTCCTTTGGAATTTCAACCAAAGATGAAGAACTGGATCTTCCATCACTGTATTGGATACCTAAACTACATAAGTGTCCTTACAAAAAAAAGTAAAATCACAAAAATACTGAACTCCGAGGAAAATTCAAAAAGGAAAGTCCACAATCAAATGGCAAAATAAAAAAAACAAACACATCAAAGGAATGGATAACAACTGTCATATTCCTGACTTGGTACAGACAACGGTATATTGCTGGGTCTTCCAAGTGCTCCACGAAACCTCTTTCTAAATTATTAACATCTATTTTATCAGCAATCAAAGCCGGGCTCCAAAGTTGTTGTGAAACTGCCAATTCTGATGGTGGCGTGAATCAGATGTGGATACTAAAAAATTCCAAAGATCTTTTAGAGTACATACAATCTAAGACTCTCTCATCTTGCAATGGTATTAAAACATTTGACTTTTCTACACTTTACACAAGTATTCCCCATTGCAAACTAAAAGACAAATTGAAAGAGTTGGTATTACTTTGTTTCATTAAAAAGAATGGCGAACGTAGATACAAGTATCTTGTCTTGGGGAGGGATAAATCCTACTTTGTAAAGAATCACTCTGATTCAAACAAAAAATTCTCTGAAACTGATATTATCAAGATGCTTGATTTCTTGATTGACAACATATTTGTTACGTTTGGAGGACGTGTTTTTCAACAGACTGTCGGAATTCCAATGGGAACCAATTGTGCCCGTCTTCTTGCCAACTTGTTTCTTTATTATTATGAGGCTGACTTCATACAGGAACTTCTTAGGAAGAAAGATAAGAAGTTAGCAATATCCTTTAACTTTACGTTCCGCTATATAGATGATGTTCTCTCACTAAATAATACAAAATTTGGTGACTATGTTGAACGAATCTATCCCATCGAACTAGAGATGAAGGATACTACATATATAGTTAAGTCTGCCTCATATATTGACTTACATCTAGAAATTGACAATGAGGGTCGGTTGAAAACAAAACTTTTCGACAAAAGAGATGATTTCAGCTTCCCAATTGTGAACTTTCCATTTCTATGTAGCAACATTCCAGCAGCGCCTGCATACGGAGTATATATCTCCCAATTGATACGATATTCCCGGGCTTGTATTTCCGATCATGATTTCCTTGATAGAAGATTGCTGCTCACAAGGAAGCTATTAAACCAAGAGTTCCCAATGGTGAAGTTGAAATCATCCCTTCGTAAATTGTACGGACGCCATCACGAGTTGGTTGACCGTTGTGGAATAACCGTTTCACAGATGATATCGGATATGTTCCTTGTGTCGTAGCTACAATACCCTTCCCTTTTCACGAATGTGACCTACCTGTCTGTTTGTCGTTTTATTTTTGACCATGGCGTTATCAGTTTGTTTTCGATCTGTGAATTTGACTTTCCCTCTGGTATCTTTCGTCCCTCTTTTACAGACAAATCGGTTCAAATCTTGAAAAGTTATTTTATTACCGCATTAAGACAGAGCTTTATTTTATTTTTAGAAACATAGTCTCTTTGTTTATATCTTTTTTATGACAGTGTCATCACATCGGTATAAAGATTATTTAACCGACCATAAGAGCGTTTGTTTGCTGAACAGAAATCTAATTGATCACTTTACACAATGTCCCTGTTAGATGGCTATCTTATCAGTTATCTTTGAACAATTATCCTGTTTTCGGAGTGACATTCATGTTTGTCCTTATTATCGCGTTTGCATCCACAACATTTAATAGAACAAACGAGTTTCCCGAGTCACATGTATATTGGTTTTTACAGTAAATATTTGTTCTGAAAAGAAACATTTTTATCAAAATTTGATTATTTTCCAAGGACTGACAGACACTTTTTACGATTATGTCATAAAATTGGTAAATTTTAATGTGTAATATATAATGCTTTGACGTTTATCGGATAAGGCGTCGAAATGTTTTGGAGACATCCGTTGTTGTTCCTGGGCTAATTATACTCACTAGATATTGCAGTTTAGCTAATATATCAACTAGATGATTATCTCAATTCAGATTTGAAACAAAAGTGCACAATGTTAGGCCAAATTAACCGGTATATTTCGTTTTGTGTGTTAAGGATGACATGAAGTAGATAACCAGTACTGCTTGAAATCTGCAAAATACATAAGTTGCAATCCCTGTTACTTTCTTTATAATAAGTATGTCAAAAATTATAGTTGCTGCGAATCATACTCCATGGATATATGAGTAAGACTCGAGTGTTTTTATAGTAGCTATTTAGTAATATTTTTATTTCTTTCAATCTTTCAATTTATCTATACTTTCAATTCATATATATTCAAGAATATGATATTGTTTAGATATACATGTATAACGTTTCCAGTTATCAAATGCTTATGCAGTTTCGGAATTCATAATGTTAGTTTGAGTTGTTTATTCTTTATATATTGTTTTCTATATTTTGCTATTGCTAAATTCACATTTATTTGTAAGCACTTTCGTTCCAATTGCTGTGCCTGAGATGTTTTTCCCAATAAATTGGTATAATGTAAAATCCTCTAGTTTATTGAATATTTTGTTATAGGTTTACTAGTTCCATTGGATATTTCCAGTCAAAATAGTATGGCTACCCATCAAAAGTCATGAGTTATTGTTGTGTATAGATTAATCAAATGTAATGACACAAGTACTGCATCTACTCTTTTTAATATCTCATTTGATAGATACTCCACCATGTCTAAATTATCGGAAATAAAGCTTTAAATATGCTTCAAGAACGGTTTAACAGATTGTTTAACAAAACCACTTAGTCAATGCATTTCCATACAAAGACCTGCAATTATAAATCTAAATCTACAAATTACCAACAATACATATAAAAGATAAGTAAAAATGGAAAGATTTAATTTCCATCTATATCTATTTATTTGTTCAGGCTGTTTTTTCGATTTATTTTTTATAACTTTAAGCAATGATAACGTCGATTTTCCTTATTAATAGTCGACATTATATAAAAGATATGTAAAAAATACCAAAGGGACGTTCAAATTCATCAGTAAAAATAAACTGACAACGCCACGCCAAAAAAAGACCAAAAGACAAACAACAGTATACAAGACACAACATAGAAAACTGAAGACTGCGTAATACACACGAACACCTAGAACAACCGGTCGTGATCTCAGGGACTCCGTCGTGTTGCTCATACAAGTACAAACCCGATGATAGGTCTAATTCGGTAGGTCACATTCGAGGAACAGGACATAATTGTGTTTACGACAATTAGAACATGTCAGTCGTAATCTGCACAACAGATATTCCATACTCGTGATGGCGTCCGTTAAATGTACGAAAGGATGATTTTAATTTCAAAACTCTTGGTTTACTTCCTTACCCGTGAGTAACACCCCTCTATTAATGAAGTCCTGATAAGTAATACAATCCCTGAATATCGTATCAACTGGGAGATATATACTCCGTATGCAGGCGGTGCTGGAATGATGCTACTTTGTAATTAAAAGTTCACAATTGAGAAGCTTAAATCATTTCATTTTGTAAAATTTATTTATCAACCGACCTTTATTGTCAAATTTTAAATATCAATGTAAGTCAAGATATAAAAAATATAAAAAAACTAAAATACTGAACTCCGAGGAATATTCAAAACGGAAAGTTCAAAATCAAATTGCAAAATCAAAAGCTCAAAACACATCAATCGAATGGATACCAACTGTCATATTCCTGAATTGGTACAGGCATTTTCTGATGTAGAAAATGATGGATTAAACCTGGTTCTATAGCTAGCTAAACCTCTCATTGGTATAACAGTCGCATATAAAATTCCATAAAATGACTACAATTTGTGAACAAAACAAAAAGACATAATAGGTAAATTGTCAAAAATAGGGGTACAGCAGTTAACATTGTGTTATATAAATTTTAATCACTATAATTACAAACAAACTTGTCAAGAAAGAAATACAAAAAGGCAAACACACAAAGCACATAAGCAAAAACGAAAGACAATAATACAAAAATTTTCGACAACACAATAACATCATGACGGGACGCATAACCACCGAGCCACGTCAAATGGATTTTACCAAAAATACACCAAAAAGCAAAAGCAACAATCCACAAAGACAGATAAAAGAACATTCATTATCTGCTCTTTGGTGTCTCTTTGACATATTCCCCCTTTCAATTCTCAATTTTACTATAACGCACAATTAAGATGATAAACAACGTCATTACCTATGAGGTAAACTCAACTGTATCTGTTGTATCAAATTCGATGGGATGAATGCGTTTAACGTAGTAAACAATGATAGTGGTTTTTTTCTTACATTAGTTGATTATACGGTCATGTTTCTTTCTTGTGTTATTTTCATTGTTGTCCATAAGACAGGGTGAGTTATAGAACCGATACTATAAGTTATCTCAATCAATGCTAAAACAGCAGACCTATATCCATTATTTTTTTCACAAAAAATCTCACGCATAAAACAATGATTGTAAGCTATACGGAAATGTTCAAAACTTAGTATTTTCACGTCAGTTTTTCTATGATAACGGTTTTGGTGTTTAATGGATGAATTTTTTCGCTAGACTTCAAAAATTCTCCAAGGTAAACATTTGTACCTGTTATATGTTTGTCGTAAGTTTTATATCACAAACTATGATATTTGTTACTTTCAGGTTTGAAGGTTTCGAAGATATAAACTGACTGTGTATTCGATTGATTACAGCAAATAAGAAACATTTATAGATGAATGAATATTCGTCGATAATTTGAAAAAAAACTTCTGAAATGTATAACAAGATCACAGCTTTATGTGTGGTATTAATAATCCTGGTAACAGGTAAGGTTGATTGTGTCAAGAGAAGTTTGATATAAAAATCATGAAAATATCTAATCGAAGAAATCAACATGTCTTACATAGTTTTTTAACGTGATAAGCAAAACTGGTCAATAATGTTGAAGGGTAAATGTCTGTCTGACCGTCTGTCTGTCTGTCTGTGTGTATGTTTGTATATGTGTGCTGTATGTTTGTATGTGTGTGTGTGTGTATGTGTGTGTGTGTGTGTGTGGTGTCCAGCGAAAATAATTGATTTACCGAAAATCCAACCAATTTAGTTGTAACAACCTTGCAATAACACATTCAGAGGGAGCTTCACTAAAAAAATCAAGTATTGTCATCATCTTAAATATTGTTATGATAAGAGTCTAAACCTTAGGTAGGTAGGAAAACATTTAATTTGAATATTATAGTTGACAGAACAACTCGAACAATGAAGGTGTATTTATCCAATTATGTACATTTTGTGCATTCGGTCGTTAAGATGTAACTGGCCAGCTTCGTTTAACTTTGATCTTGAAAAATATCAAAATATAACATAACGATGATAGATTATTAAAATTTGTGCAAAGATGGAGGCGTATTTTTCTAATTCGTCATTGCTAATTGAATCACTGTTAAAATTTTAAAGTTAAACAAAAAAAATTCTTTGGATGTTGATAGATCAATTTGTCCCGATTTTAAATCGTCCTAGAATAAACATTCCCCATTCTTTGTAGAAACTTCATTCCTGTCATCATTACCTACATAAACATAAATTAAACAGAGTCTGTAGCATGATATGTATAATTATTTTTTCGAAATCGTTGTTTTCCTTTCTTGAAGTATTTACTTAACAAAAATTGCTTATCTATCTTGTATTTTAATTTGCATAAAAAGTTTGAAATGGATAAACAAAATGAAAGCTCAAACTACTTTTTGTAGAAATTAAAAAAACGTCATCCTTAATAATAAAAAAACATAAATGTGTGAAGTGTGATTTGCCCAAATGACCATCTCAGTTGCGGATTCTTAAACACTAAATCATAGACATAAACTCAATATTAAATTTTACGAAAATTTGGCAGATCATGTATGACATGAATGTATTGTTTAGTGTAAATATAGACATTATTTAAGAAGATAACATTTCAATTGCTAGAGTGTTAAGTTCTTAACAATCAATGGACATCGATTGATTAACTAACTGATTGATTGGTTGATTGATTGATTGATTGATTTAGTGATTGATTGATTGATTGATTGGTATGGAAAAATCCAAAAAAGATTGAATCTTTCTGAAACATAAAATGCATTTAACTTTTATATATCTAGTGAATGCCAAACTGCACAGGTTAGTCTACACTAGTAGTTTTTGATTTGTAAATACAGCCATTTTTGTCCATTTGTTATGATGAACCTTAACGTTGTAACAAAGAATATCTATACATTGAAAAAATCAAATACTATTTCCGTTTTTTTTATTTAATCTTCCAGAGAGCAACCTATGTAGCATCGATATTTGTTTTAATTGGAAAATTACTACCAATGCACTTATTCTAAAGTGTAAAGTACCATCCGTGATTCATCGATTAATGATAATTAATCAGTTTGATAAAATTCTAGCCGATTGTGTCCCACCACCGACCACGGCTCAAAACTGCGCAAGTGATTTCAAGAACGGAAGTATAAGATATGATGCCATGAGTAATGAAACAATATTTACTATGACGGGGACAATCAATCACCACCTAAATGGAAACTGGACATGCCGCCATGGAACAAGTTTAGATATAGCTCAAGTTGAAGTCACAGTCATAATAGGTTTGTACATTTTATCACGAAACTGATTTGCCAGTCACTGGTGATCTCAGGGCTTATCTACTAATATGATGTTACCGTCATAATATATGATTATCAAAACTACAATTATGATGTCCCTTCACTTAATGGTTCAAAGTTCGGTGATTATGTTGAACGCATTAAACTTGAAATATTGGATACCCCCGTCTTTTTTTCTGTAAAAATTACATCTTTTAATTTGTAGTATCATCGAGTTTGTACTCACCATGAGCAACAAGATGGGCCACGTGGGGAGCATGACCATTTTGTACTGTTTAGTTTACACACTTCATTTAAGTTTTGGAAGTATCTACACTACTACAATAATTCCAATCAAAGAATCCAACTTTATATATAACTAATATAGGACAACGGTGGTGATTAAAACTACACCATTCCAGGCCATTATGTTTTCAACATAATTAATATAACCAATAATTAGTTCCTGGTCGAATCCGTTACCGATACCAATAATGTATGTCTTCTTTATTGCAGCACCCATGTCACAAGGTATATATAATAACAGTCCTCAATTTTTATACTACTTAATTAAAAATAAAAAGATAAATATTATCTTAAAAATAAACAGAATTTGTAAAAACGTAAGTGCAAGTGAATTATTTACATAATGCATATATATATATTTCCGGTTTAACCCTGACATATGTCACAGGGAGTTTCAGGTTGTAGTAAGAAACCCAGGACAGGTTCTAACAGAAAGATTTTGAAAATATTGAAAACCGTACACCTTATAATCAGCATGAATGTATTTGATGACAATATGAATACTTAAAATTCAGGCTATAGTCATAGGTCCTTTAATTGAGTCACGGACCTGCAATGTCGCGGATGTGTTCTGGTGAATAATTATGTAAGTACGTATCACAATTTGTTTATATGAGGGTCCTGAATAGACTAATTTGACATTTAGTTAGGGACTTTCCGTTTTGAATTTTCCTCGAATTTCGGTATATTTTGTTATTATACATTTCCTTTTATTTCCCGCGCGCAAATTTGTATATCTAATTACCAAAAAGAATAATAACAGTAATACAATGAAAACAATCATCAAATGTTTGAGCATACGATGGGTCGATGCTTCAACTCACTTGTGACATGTCTTCGTGGTCTTAAATCGTTAGATACCAGTATAGTCGTATGGTATGTATTTTTAGCGATTGTGTCTTATTCTCTAATATTAAGTTTTGACGATGTGGATTGACATGGCGGTCATATTTAATGCATTCATAGCATTAATCGCTTTTTGCATGGCGGTCGATGCATGCATATTAAGGGACGCTTATCCATATCGACGCACCAAGTCATCATGTATATATTATTGATGTGCAATTTACTGTTTCTTATATTTTTGTATTTTCACTATTCAGTAGAGCGGGGTTTTTTTTCAGAAAAATTAAAAGAATTGAATCAAGGAGACTTAGTCAATAACAAAACAAGAAAAGGCACACAAATAAAGTCTTGTGGTAATGTATCTATTACTTATATATTATAGTTAGGTAAAAAGCAACACGTAAATCGTCACATTACACACTTCATTACTGTCAAAATGGCCCGGGGTCTTTCGAAATATATATGTATTTTTAAATATATATCTTCGAATCAAAGAGTAGTATGAATGATTCAGTTTCGTGGTCTTGTAACACTTGGATTTTAGAGACAATTGAACATACAGTACTTGCATTCGAAGGTTTTACTGTTTAGGCCACGCTTTAGTCTTAGCGAATCAACCAAAGATTAGACAATAATCGGTGACCGATGAGTTACATGTACTAAGAAACTTATGTCGACCTTAAATGGGTTCGATTCTCCCTCTTTTCATTTAGCCCCACACGTATTCAAATACTTTCGATTGAGCGTTATTGCTGTAGGTATTTTTTAATATAGAAATATTGAAATTGTGAAATTAACTTTTATCGGTCCTTCTGATTTAAAACTAAGAGTGATTGACTGGTTGATGATTAACACCACTTTCAACATTATCTTGCTATTTCTTGGTGGTCAGTTTATACTTGTAGAGGAAACCGGAGTGCCTGGTAAGAACCACCGAACTTCGTTAGAAAAAATGACAGTACTAGTCAATTAGTATTGCAGTCGAGTGCACCTGGATTCGAACTCACAATCTCAGTCTTGACTGGCTAGTGATACAGTAGTTTGACCACTTAAATTGCTTAGATCATTCAGCCACCAAGGCCCCTAAAAACAAACAAATACGTAATTTTTCTACCTACACTCCTAAATATGGTATGATAAATGAGTAAACAACCGTAAGTGGCGTGGATTCCTCAAAACAATGCAGTTTTTGTATTGAAATGTTCATATTTAGTCTTTTTTTTATCAAACGTCCCAACGACAAATTGAACATTCATTTTTCAAAATAAATAAGTCTTAACACGGTCGAACACTTGATAGACAAATCAGATCAATGGTAGGTGAAAGGTAAAGTCAGTCAAGAAATAGACTAAGATGCATGCAAAGAATAAAGCTGACATCCATCAAAAGGGCAATACATAGAAGAAAATAAACAGATTATATTTATCTAAAAACGATAATCTTATTAGTTACAACAATCGTCATGAAAGAAGGAGGGCGTTAATAGCTTACTGTACAGTGTATTCCTTTATTGTAGTTAGTTATAAACATATTTATTGCCCCTTTCCAGCGTACTGTTTTTCGTTTGATACTGGGCGACCAAAGTAACTTCTTGTTTTTGAAACGAAAATTGACGAATGAACTAGACATTCGCCAGACTGCATGTAAAAAATGTCAAGACAATGCATTTCAAAGTTGATACGAAAAACATGAGCCTGGAAACCTGAATAATTGATGAATGAGCGTTATTAAGTGCTGGTTGAATGGACTATGTAACTATATAAATTCATTAATAAAAATAATAAAGGAACACACGATGATCAATAAATGAATTAAAATTCAAGTTTATGTATGAGATATTGTTTGTTTGAGAATCATCAAATGTGTTGAATTAGCTTATCGTGTGATTACTTTCTAGATTGCTAATATTAATAAACTCGTCCCAGTACCTGTGTATGAGGACAGTTCATCCAAATACATATTCACAATTGTCGGTTGGGAAAATGATACGGTTTATTCTTTGCGCGTTGACATAGAGATGTCTTGATGCATAAATTAAAACGATATGATTTGACTTTACTGTTTTGGATATTCATGATATTATATGTATGGTTCAAATTTGGTAACATGAATACTAGCATTTAATCTCTACAGAATTTGTCGTTGTTGTATAAATTAAACAAAAAACAAAACGCTTGTTTCGATATGAAATTTTTAAATTTCGAAACTGAATAATTTTTAAATTGGTTCATTTCAATTACTTGAGAGCTCCTGTTTTGGTAAAACGCTTCCTTTAAATTTATCAAAGTTTTTTTACGTCCAGTAGCAATTATTAAGCATATTCAGTTCGCATAAAAATCAAGTCTAACATTTGATTCATAAGTCACATTAGTGAGGTTGATGGTTCAACCGAAATGAAAGGTTAAACGTTAAACTGACAGGTACAAAGTGGAAAACGGACCCGTTCGAATGATACTGAAAATATTCAATTATAAGTTATTTAATCTACTTTCACTGCATGTGGACAAATTTAAACTATATTATTTAAATATTTATATTTTATTCAAAAAAATTCTCTGTGTTGCAGCATTTAGAAGTCTTGCATCAACAGCTATAGTTTTCTTAAATTATTATTATGTATTTGTCATTAATTCATTATAATGAATATAGGATTCGGAGGTGCGATGGTACTCCGAACCGCGATGGTCACGCTGAAGTGCGATGGTTAACACTCTGAAGTGCGATGGTCACATTGTGACGTTAACTTGTTGATAGCTACGCTGAAGTGCGTTGGTTAACACGCTGAAGTGCGTTGGTTAACACGCTGAAGTGCGTTGGTTACCACGCTGAAGTTCGATGGTCACATTTTTACGATAAATTGTTAACAAATACGCTGAAGTGCGACGGTTGCTACGCTGAAGTGCAATGGTATGCCTGTAACATATCAATATTTTTTTATATAGATTAGACCGTTGGTTTTCACGTTTAAATTGTTTTACACAAGTCATTTTTGGGGCCCTTTATAGCTTGCTGTTCGGTATGAGCATAGGCTCTGTGTTGAAGACCGTACTTTGACCTATAATGGTTTACTCTTACAAATTGTGACTTGGATGGAGAGTTGTCTCATTGGCACTCATACCACATTTTCTTATATCTATGAACTACTTAAAAAAAAATAACATTATTAAGATTTAAGCAATGTGGCTATAAGTAGGTAAACAAAAAATAAGACAATTACGATGTAAGTGCATAGCTTCATGCAAAATGTTATGAATGAATATTTAATACAGCAAATTTGACGAATTGAATATTTTGATAAACAATTGATTTTATTGTTCTCAAGGTCTTTCAATGTGTACACTCTTCCTTTGGAATCATCCATCTGAATGTCCATTACTATCCCTTTCCTCCAATACCCTGACAAAAATACATTTATTCCTGCGCTTAGTGCTGAATTCGGTCTAAAATCTATTGTGTCATTTACATTTACATTTGGATTAAACGTTTGCATGTCCATGACTTGGGCCTTTCTAGGAAACAACTCAACAGGATACAATTCCCTTTCCCATGTGTCTCTGTTCTGTTAAAAAAAAATATGTAACGGTACATGTATTAGTTTCAGTTTATTTTTAAAATATCTTGCAATTAAGTACTTAAAACAAATGATATTTTACTTGACATTTTAACAACATATCTATTTTTGCAATTATGTTTTCATCTTTTTATATCGTTCAAGCCTTTTTTACTTATTAATTTCTCTTAAAAATGTGTATTGTTTTGTTGTATTTATTATATGGTGCTATATTCTAAATAGAATTAAAAAAAATGAAAATCAAAGTTACAACAAGCCAACCAGTCTACCAATATATGTAGGTCTTTTACTCAGCTAGATTATTATGCATTCGAATCTTTTTATTATAATTTATGTAATTTTTGCATTTTGTGTGTAAACATTTTATGTATGCTTTTACTGAATAACTACATTGTATGTATTGTACACTATGTGAAACTCATTTTATGTTGTTACCTTTTTGAACAGACTTAAAATAATACCGTATTTTATAAATTTACCTCAGTGAAAATATTGGAATCAGAATATCTCCGTTTGTTTGTAGCCAAGCCAGTAGGAAAACATGCATAGTTCTATAATTTTGATAAAGTTTTATTGGTATATAATAGATATAAAAATAAGAAAACAAAATGTACAATATTACATATGTAATTATATCCGTGTGACGGATGCATCTTCTTGAGGTCCATTTGCCATCTGTTGTTGGGGTATGTTGCTGATATTGGTTTTCTTGTTCTGTGAGTTTTTGGCAAATCAACTGCTGAAAGACACTGCTGGTATTTAACGTTCAGCTTAAAAAGCAAACGAACATTTTCCAGAACTACTGGGAAAAAAGACTTTCTCAGGGTTTCGTACACTGTGTGACTTTTCCTATGATCAGTTTTGTGATTTTTTCTGCATGTTCGTCTTTTGACAGGACCTTTCTTTGAAACTCTGTTACAGTTGTACTTCTATGAAATATACTATTGAACTCCTTGTCATATAAAAAATTAGCAGCATATTTTCTAATACTTGTTTCTCCCATCTGAAGTCCAAGTGCATCTTTTATTCTTATTGCTCCTTACGATTTGTTGTTAAATTTTACCTTGCATATTGCCAAAACCTCATCCTGAACTGCCCAAAACTGTTCCGGACTTGGATCATTTGTAACCTTTTTTCGTTCGTTTGTTATAACAAAGCCTTCGTCAACAAACTCTTCTTTTCCTTCATGCAATTTCATATTGTTTTTAAGAAACGTTGTTTTCCAAAACGTCATAATATTCAAACGTCATGGTAACTTGTTATAACGAGCGAATATGTAAGCTACGTTAACGCAAACTTTTGTAATTTTTAGGAATACTAGTAGCTATATTTTAGCATTTAAAATTGTTTTTTTACCCAAATTTTAATTTTAGTTTGAATTAATGCATTTATGCATTATTGTTTTCTAAATTTTATTCATCCTGCTTCTAATTATCCTAACATATATGTTCCAACATGACCATCGCAATTCAGCGAATGAACCATCGCACTTCGGCGTGGACCATCGCACTTCAGCGTCCCCATCGCACCTCCGAGTCCTACATATTATCTAACGAAAATCGATAACGTTTCGAATTCGAATGGACAGACGATAGATATATCTATCGGGGTTGCTTTTCTGCTTGAGTGATTTACCTAACAAGGAGGCGGACACTTTGAAGTTGAAAAACAAATTAACATCAGTTTGAATTAGTTTAACGGGGGCGTGGCTTATTGGTTTGACGGAGGTTAACCTTATCTTAAAATAACTTGAATGGTCGCAAAGGAATATATTGGACTGTTATTAAAATAGTTTAAAACGGATTGAATAAGATAGCAAACCGTTTTTCATTTTTGTTAATCTTATTCAATATTCCAGTAATCTTTTTTAAAGAGGGTTAATTCCTATTTGGCCAATCAATCTAAATTCTGGTTACTAGTGTATTCACTATCTTATTATTTGCCACTGGACATTGAGAGAATAATTCAATAAAAAGGAAGTTGGTGAACTATAAATCAGAAAGTGCACCACGCAGTCATGCTCACATGAAGCTTAATACAAATTTTTCAGGGAGCTGAAATATTCAAATTAATGTTTTTGTATATTTCATATTAAAACCAAATCGATATATTTTTATTTCAATTTACTTTGCGTTTGAGTTTATACCTATCTATGTAAAAACAAATACTAACTATTGCTATATTCTGATATAAAAAAGAGAAAATATCGTTGATTACAATAGTACAAGTATTTATTACAGACTGTATATTATATAGGCCGCTCAATGCAACTGATTGATTAATTGTTCTCTCAATGTCCAGTGACAAACATTCAGATAGAGAATACTTAAACAATATAAATCAAATACGTTTGCATATTTCGAAGTTGGTCGCCCAGTATTAAACGGAAACCGTACGCTGGAAAAGGGCATTGAGTATATTTATAACTAACTTCAATAAAGGACAGTACTGTAAAATAAGTTATTAACGCCCTCCTTCTTTCAGGAAGATTGTTATGACTAATAAATTTATCCTATTTAGATAGAGAGAATCTGTTTTTTTTTTCTATTTATTACCCTTTTGATGTCAGCTTTATTCTTTATATGCACCTTAGTTTGTTTCTTGACTGACTTTACCTTTCACCTTCCATTGATCTGATTTGTCTATCAGGTGTTCGACCATGTTAAGACTTATTTGTTTTGAAAAAGGAATGTTCAATTTGTCGTTGGGACTTTTGATAAAAACAAAAAATTGATATGAATATTTCAATACAAAAACTCTGCATTTGAACTCTTTTTTTTATGGAATCCACACCACTTACGGTTGTTTTCTCATTTATCAAACAATATATAGGGATTTCATGTGTAAATACATATCTCCAGATGACGAATAAGTTGTAGGAATAAAAAAGACGTAATAGTTTGTTTTTAGGGGCATCGGTTGCCGAGTGTTCTGAGTGGTCCAACTACTGTATCACTAGCCATTCAACAGTGAGGTTGTGAGTTCGAATCCCGCACGTGGCAGGTGCACTCGACTTTGATCTTAATTGACTAGGATTATCAGTTTTCCTACCGAAAGTCGATGGTTCTCACCGGACACTCCAGCTTCCTCCATCAATACAAACTGACTGCCACGAAATAGTACAGTAATGTAGAAAATGGCGTTAAACTCCAATCAATCAATCAATGTTTTTATGGTGATTATGATTTTTGACATTTTTACCTGTTACTTCTGCTTGTTTTGTTCACACATTTTTTCAAAATAAAGAAAAGTTTATGCAAATGTCGTACAAGTGAGAGGTTCAGCTAGCTATAAAACCAGGTTTAATGCACCATTTTTTTTCATAAGAAAATGCCTGTACCAAGTCAGGAACATGACATGACAGTTGTTTTTAATTCTTTTGGTGTGTTTATTATTTGTTATTTGATAAGGGACTTTCCGTTTTGAATTTTGCTAGGAATTAGGTATTTTAATTTACTTTGATTTACAACATAGTCTTTTTTTTATTGAGATATCGTCAAGTTCACAATTACATCATATATATTATTCCCATTTGTAATCAAACATATTGGTTTGTAAACGGGGTCTTTGGAGTCTTGTTCTTTTAAATTATTGTAAATATTATTTGCAGATAGAGGATGCATCACGCTTCTGTTTAGTTGGACATTTGGTAGTTTTATTCTCTCACTGGTGATTTGTCTGACATTATATTCAGTTATAAATTTCAGAGATCAATCATTAGCAGGTAAGTTACAGAAAAACCAATTGCCATATCTGGATTGATAGGAAAGCAAATACTATAAGTTATGTCATACAATTACATTTCTTATCGGCTTGTAACCGTTGATGTTTAAAACAGGAGTTATAATGCTAATGCACATTTAGTGTTACAAACAAAAATGAACAACGACTAACAAACAAAGCAAACATAAACAAAACAAAAAGATCAAATTAACGGACAAAAACAAAATTCAGATTTTAGTACTTAGGCATCATGTAAGAAATGATATCGTAAAATATAAAACTTTTTTGGTGTTTAGTATAGCTCTATGCTAGCTATATGGGAACAGACTTTGTTTAACACTAAGGAACATATGAAAATGTGTTAAGTTGTTGACATTTTAATTGAATGATAAGGATAAACAAAATATCAGTTTGTCAACGTATCTTACCAATATGAAACATAACTGATAATATATTACATATGGTTTGATTTTTCTTGTTTCTCAATGGTTTATTTGATCACGATTTTTCCACTTTATTTTATTTTCTCACTATTTTGACATATTCACTCTACGTTACTATTTTATAAATGATATTAACTCCATGTTACTAAAGATAGTAACATCCAGTCAATACCATTTCCAAAAATAATAACATCATGTCAATGTTACTTTTAAACTTACACTTTTTACATCAGTTTGGTGGTTAAGTACCATTTGATACTTTGAATTATACATGAAAAAACAACTATGTACACATGTTCTAATATACTAAATGCTAAAATACATAATATGGCATAACATTTGACAGAAAAAATAACGTAGAAAAGAATATTTTGGTTGTTTGTCATGTGATTATTAGAGAAATCTTGTTTTAGAGGTGGTTGCATCACAGACATACAGGATACTCAATTGCATTACTGCAAAATGTACATGTGGCTTTACATGTATTCAGCGTAAAAAACCAAGGTCAATTTTTGGTAAGTAAAATATCAAAATTTTATATAGTGAGACTTATACCTCTGACTTCATTTGCTTGACAGAAAAAGATATATAACCATTTACCAATACAGAAGATAATAGACATGAGTAGATATGACAAATATGACAAAACACGTCAATGGTAATAATTTACTTGCCTTCACCATTTGGTAAACTTAAAAGTAAATTCTTAAACATCAGATCGTTTTTCTTACTAACAATAAACATATTATTTTATTTCAAAAAAGTAGTCAGCTCGTTTTATTATTATATACAAGCATTAAACAACCAGACTTAAGCTGGCAGCCACTTTTAGCAGGCAATCAAGATAGCAGCCATGTTTGCCAGCAGCAAATTTTAATGATATGTTTAAAAATAAAAAATTAAACTATATAAGACTAAAACGTTCGAAACATATCAAATTCTTAGTAAAATATAATAGCACCTTCTTTGACAGCGGAATTCGAAATTTTCACGGCTTGTCGTGATTCTAAAAAGATGATAAGCCGTTTTATATAACAATGACGATAGCAGCCACTTATTTTTTTGGAGGACACTTTGAGTAATAAAATAAATGTACAATTTAAAATTGCACTTTCCGTTCTTTTTTTTTCATGTTTTTATTCTTAATGATTATCAGGCACAGAAATAATTTAGGAATAGAAAAATAACAAAAATCAAAGTCTAACTACCATTGTTAATAATAAATTTAAGTAAATTGTGAGGAATCGTTTTATATATATTTCCTAGGTCAATATTTGATATGAGGTATCTCTGATTCAGAACTTTGCAGTAGGGACTTGTCGAGGAATTCAAATGAGTGGTTGGTATGGAAAATATGTTAAGGGGCAACTTCGAACACTGTGATGGTCAGACGGACCCGAATCACAGACAAATTTGTAATGGCGAAAAGCCTCGGTAAACACAATCAAAATGATCCCTACGGCAAAGTTTCAAATTAGACCTAGCTCATTTTAAAGGGGTTGACCGCAGCTATTCACCACTGAAATATTGTTCTGGGATCCGAACCCGTCTGGCCATCACATGTGTTCAAATATGCCCATTAACGTAATTTCCATACCAACCACACATTCGGTACTCCTCGTGCATATCCCTACGACAAAGTTCCGAACCAGACCCAGCTCATTTCAAATATATTGACCCAGACTATTCTCCACTTAAATGTTTTGGGGGATCCGGGTCCGTCTGGCCACCACAGGGGTTCGAAGTTGCCCATTAATGACTTTTAATATCAACCACACATTCTTTTGGTACCAAAACCAAAACTAGCTCATTTCGAAGGTGTTTACTGAGGCTATTCGCCACTTAAACATTTTTTTGGGATCCAGGCCCGTCTGTCCATTACTTGTGTTCAAAGTTACCCTACATCAGCGTTACAAACCAGAACTACCTAATTTCAAATATTGACCTAGGCTATTCTCCACTTACATATTTTCTGGTACCCGAGCCCGTCGGGCCACCACAGTTTGTTTATGTCAATGTTTTGTATAGGCACATTTGAAAAGGAAAATTTCAGTTTTAGATTAATAAATTGGTAATGTTTTAGAACGAAACTGAGTCGTACACATTTACAAATCGGTCCTTTCATTTTCGACATGATGAATTATTTTTCGTTTAATGCATAGAAATACAAAGATCGAGGTGTAAACACTGGCTATGTTTGCAATCTCCGTGTAAACAACTTTCTTTACTTACGTTTCTTTTGGTACAATTGGCACAATTTAATGAGACGTTTTAAAATACATTCGAAGTAATGTTTAGTCTTTTTATCATTTTGTCGTGCATTTGTACGTATTTCTTCATCAATCTCGAACGGTTGTAGAAACACCTCACAATCGAAAACTTATTTGAGACAAGAACACATATAATATCGTGATGATCATAGTTGTGAAGAGTTTGTTTGCAAATACTTTTTTAACAAAATATTCAAAATGCAATTGGATAAAAACTTTTTTTCATTTTTTATGATGGTTTTGTGCTTCATAACTTCACAGAGGTGTAAGTCGAATATATGAATTTTGGTTAATGAATATCAGTATTGAATATATTATCTTCTATCTTGTTTCAGTTCTGCAGAATATCTTGATTGTAATACTTGTTTCGATAGTTTTCATCCTAGCGGGTATTGTTGGACATCTGACAGAGAACGATTGTACGATACGTAAGATAATTATTATAAAAATTGTTTTAAATGGAACAATGTATTGCATCGAAAAATGCTTTTTACAAGGGGGAGCAATCGTGAGTTGAGTTGCTTTTGAAGTTCAAATTGCGAGGGTGTGTTGATACAAATTCATGAACATAAAGTCTTAAAGTTAAATCAAGCTTATCTGTGCTTAGAGCTGGGCACCTGTATATTGTTGATGACTACATACGGTGGCCTTCAATTGTGTTTTTTTATTTGTTAGGTTTTTTGCTGTCTCGTATACGTATACGTCAGGTATAAGATTTTGATAAATAAAAATAAATTGACAATTAAAAAAATGAAGCAACTTGGTAATGCCAGTTACAGATTACTGTTTGTTTGAATCAGAGTTTTGTTTTACTTAAAGTATACTTTACCTTTTCCTTAAACAAGATAATTATATCTACTTGGCCATTTCTTTTTGAAAAACATAATTGGATTAATTCTTATATAAACAATGAGGAATAAATGTGTCAAGGTTTAACTTTTTTTCATTATTGTACACCGATGAGAAACGCCTGGGACTGATTGTTTAACCACATACTGTATTTGACATCAGCTTAATATAAACAAAATATGAGGAAATTCGGATTAAGATTGTCAGTTAAAAGAAATTAAAGTTTCTGGTACGATTGTTTATGCATAAATTTATAAAGAGTATTACTGTTATCAAAAAGTAGTTCACTTTCATGTATCGTTATTTTTATATCATTATCTTCCAATCGTGTGAGTATATTTACAAACTCCATATTTCCCCAAATTAATTAAGCAACTACAATAAGGTGTATATCAATATTTAACGTTTTTGTGGGAACGACAATTAACCAAAGGAAATACATTGTTGCTGAAATAATATGTAATATATATATGTAACTATCAATAATCTCCTTTTTACAGAAACAGTGCCAACCGTGGTATTAACAGTGGTATTCACAGTGCTTGGTATTGCCGGTGGTTTTTTTAGCAGCCTTCTTATTAATAAAAACGAAGGTATTTGAAGAATTATTTTCGTTGTTATGTTATGTTAAATGGTTTCGTGACAAAAGAGGCTTAATGAGGAAATCTAAAACAAAAAATAACCGTAACAAAAAATAATAATAATGAACAAATTACTATTTAAATGGTTTATGAAAAGACATGATATACAATTTTAAAAATGTATCTCAAAAACAGAGAAGAAACCAAAGAGAAACATCAATCACAAGTGAAAAAAGCCAGACCACACCAATGCCAAAATGAGGACAAAACATTAAAAGACAGATTACAATTAAAAAAAAATCTTTGCTTGATTAAGTGTCCAAACATTAAAAAGTGAAGACCAACGTTGGTTTGTAAAATCCCAGTTTATTTGTAAATACGATTTGACATTAATTTTGAGAGGCATGAAATATTTTTGCAATTTGATTTGAAAGTATGCAGCTAGTTTTCAATAGTAAATTCATATATGAATGCCTTATGTTACACTAACACAAAATGAATATTTATTGTCAAATTTTTTGTTGTGTTATTTTGATGTTATTTTTTTAACATTCACAGTAAAGTGATTATTATATTAAAATTTAGGTACCATTTTCTTCTTTTAAAATAAATACAAGTATAAATGTAATATTGTTCCGGTTATGGAAAATACAGGTACACAAAACCAGATATCAACCGTGTCAGAAAATAATCAGCCACCAGGAGCAAATGTTGATGTTGACATAGGTAATTTTTAGTCTGTGCGTAACATTTATATAAATGGGGGAAACAAAGGAATATTTTAAACAAAGCCAGCCATCCCTTTGAAAATATAACTGAAAAAAATAAAGGTAATTTGGATTAAGTAATATTCGGGGAGGATGGACCTTATTAATTATAAGGGTGGTAATTACTTTTTCATCTGAAAATGTTTATAACAATGGTTCGATGTCTGTTTCTGTTGAGGTAACACTTCTTTAAAACCAAATAAACAATCAAATACATTATTAACGGCATATTATTATTATTGGAACATATTTTTATATAGATTAGACCGTTGGTTTTCCCGTTTGAATAGTTTTACACTAGTAATTTTTTTGGGGCCCTTTATAGCTTACTGTTCGGTGTGAGCCATGGCTCCGTGTTGAAGACCGTACTGTGACCTATAATGGTTTACTTTTATAAATTTTGACTTGGATGGAGAGTTGTCTCATTGGCACTCATACCACATCTTCTTATATCTATTATGACCGAACAGTCACGTTTTGTATGTAGCATATGGCGTTTTGATTCAACCAGAGATTGGATGACCGAGAAGTTAGCATCTAAAGGTTACTTTACTGTCTTCAACAATGAGGAAAATCTATATACCATAGCAAGCAATAAAAAGCTTCAACATGACAAATGTAAAACAATTCAAAGGAAAAATAACTAAAGCCCTGATATGTGTACTTTAGATTACGTTTCGGCCTTCAACAATAATCAAAATTTTACAGTATACTCTAACATAGCTTTAAAAGACAATGGCATGAAAATTCGCAATAGAAAACCAACGTTGGTTTGTAAAATCCAACTTTTCCTGTAACTTCTGTTCAACATAAATTCCGACAAGTATTTGATTTGATAAATTTAATAATTTGCACTTACTTTGGCTTTATGTAGGTTTTTTTCAATGTTGAATTCATATATGTAGGTTTTGTTTACAGAATCACACAATAAAAATAACTCTGCCGTTTTGAGTTTATTTTTCTTTATATTTTGCTGGTTTTTCCAGCAATTTGATTTTTCAGAAGTCAGATGTAGGATATTCTAGCTAATAACTAATTGCCAAAAACTTTTTTTATGTTATTCCTACTATAATATGAATAAAAAATTAAATATTCATTTTCTTCTCTCAAGTCATATGTTATTTATTATTGTATAGAAAACACAGGTATACGAGAACAGGTACAAACCAGGTCAGAAGATAATCAGCAACAAATAGCAATTGTCGAAGCAGAACAAAACGACCCTGTACAAGGTAATTTTTCGTCTGAGGATAATTTTCATAAAAAAGAAAAATACAAACCCTAATTATACAAAGCCTTTCCCTAAATAACTTAACTGAAACAAAATTATAAGCAAAACATTGAATCAACAAATATTTCCAGGGAGTGGCATTTTAAGGATGTTTATCTCTATCAGATTCTAAATTAATATTTCTAAACGAAAACATAATACTACAATTTGCTTATGGAAATGGGTAGAGTTTTTTCTGTTGAAGTATATAAAATTTTGACATCATAATAGCAAATGTATGACACCACAAAGGGAAAGTGATTGTTGAATGACGTCAATAGTTAAGTGTCGCGGATTATGAGGTGAAGTGACGCACATTCCGAATAAGATACATGTAACTATAAGGTCAATGGTTTAAATATTGACAACAAATAATTTCAAGGCACAAAATCTAACTTATTTGTTTATTTAAAAAAAAAATATATACCGAAAACAATAAAGAATTAAACATTGTGACTTTCTTTAGTTACGAACTGGTAGAATGTGAAATTTAACCCTTCAAAATAGTTGTCAACGCCCAATGCAAATTATACTTCTAAACGAAATGCATTAGAGGGGGCACGGTAGTATTTCCTGACCCATAAGGGATAATGATAGCCTATTTAGAATTTTCAACACTTTCTAACACTGCCAAAAATTCTACTTAAACAGTTAACTGAAGTACTTTCCTTATACTATTCAGAAATGAATTGGAATATGTATCATGACGGTTTACTTTTTTTGATATCTTTAAAAACCTAAGGCCACTAGTGCTTTTAGGTCTTTTATCATGTTGTGAATACAAAATTTAAAAAAATTCTCAAAGTTCATTTTCACCTGTATGTAAAATTATTTCATATTTTTCTACACCTGATCCATCCCTCAGTTTGGGAAAGTATGTTCAGTTGATACTGTATTTTTTGTCCAATCGCACTGTTCAGATACATTGACTTAAGTAGGGTACACAAAAGAGCAACCTAAGTTCTGGAATGCAAATACTACAGCGCTACCTTAACCAAGACCTTACAAACTTGAAATCAGTCATGACACCTATGATGCATAGACTGCTGACTAGGAAACAAATTACAATAAAGAATACTAGTGTCCACTTATTTCTTGCCCAAAAAAAGTTAAAAAGTATACCCCTACCCCAGCTGGCAGATTTTCACTTTTTTTTTATCTGAACATTTTTACTTAACGAGTGAACAAAAAACAAATATATGTTGTTTCAAATCAACACAGAAGTAAACCATGGTGATTCAGGATGAATTATTGGATTGACAACTATATTTATAGTTAATCTAACTGAACGAAACAGTTTAAGCACCAAATCATGAATAATGTTAGTAAAGTCCATTCCACATTTTACAGCATGCCTTACATTCCTTCAAGCATTTCCAGATTATGAAGGCAATATAACAAGACTCTTCAGATGGCAGTTAACTATTATTCAAAGATCTTTTTGACAATACATGTACTAGAATATATCTCTAAGTTGACTGTTTGTCTATTTCTCATGTATGCATCAAGTTAAATTATGTCCCCTTACATAATCAATTTAGATTTATTGTGCTTTTCAGGGTCAGAAAATCAAATAAATTAATGACATTTGCATGGAAAATGAATAAACTATTTAATCTTGCTGATATACAAACATAATCACATACTTTGTTCCCAAAAAATGCCTTGTCAATGTAAAGAAACCCCTATTGTTATCTCTATTTCAGCTAAATATGTGGGCTAAATAAATAAGTAAGGACCCCCTAACCACTTACTGGTTCCAAAAATGCTCATACTGGTGTCATGTTACCACAAAACTACAAATCAAACCTAAAGAAAACTAGTATAGCCGTACTTGTGTGGAAAAAAATAAGAAATTATGCACTTTATTCATTTCGGTGAAAATAATAGGACGTACAGGCAACTAAAATAGGTCGCGTCTCAAATTCCAGCTGTTGCACATGTGTCAGACACTGCGAAAAGTTAAAGCAAACATTTATAATTAAAAATGTATTGCAAGTTACATAAAAATAATGAAGTTCTACTTTCTAAGTAAATTTTTACATTATTACCCACAGATCAGGCAAAATTTGCTGAATCAGCAATTTTCACTCACAGGGGTGGAATTTAAGGTCTGTTTTTATTCTAGTTGCCCTTAATCAACTTTTTATTGATAAACTTACAAATTGAATAGGTAAAAAAATACCTTTATTGATTTAGTGTAAACATATATATCCCAGTTAAGGGGGCACTGTAGTATTTCCTGACCCACAAGGGATATTGATAGCCTTTTTAGAATTTTCACCACTTTCTAACACTGCCAAAAATTCTACTTAAACAGTTAACTGAAGTACTTTTCTTATACTATTAAGAAATGAATTTGAATATGTATCATAACCGTTTACTTTTTTTGATATCTTTAAAAACCTAAGGCTACTACTGCTTTTAGGTCTTTTATCATGCAGTGAATACAAAATTTAAAAATATTGTCAAAAATTCATTTTCACCTCTATGTAAAATTATTTCATATTTTTCTATACCTGATTCATCCCTCAGTTTGGGAAAGTATGTTCAGTTGATACTGTATTTTTTGTCTAATCGCACTGTTCAGATACATTGACTTAAGTAGGGTACACAAAAGAGCAACCTAAGTTCTGGAATGCAAATACTACCGTGCTACCTAGAATTAAGATTGATCAACCTGAGCGGAATGACCTGCAAAAGTCGGTTAATAATGCAAGTTTTAATGAGTTTCAAACTATTTTTTCCTAACATATCACTTGGGCGGACCCGAAATTATTTTAACCGTCTGAGTCCCATATTCAGATCATTTTCAAACATTTAAAACCTTTTTTTTCGAGGAATGCATATTCCCGCACTAATTTGACATTGTAAACATTAAGTTTACATAATTACAAAACATTTCCTAACTGTACTGTTAACTCATATGGCGTCAATAAAAATAGGGTAAATCGTGAAGTTGATGTGTAAAACTTCGTTTTAAGTACTTGAAATTACTGTATGATTTGTACAGTCAACGGCTTATTAAACGTTTTTAGTTTAAGCGAATTTCATAGTGTAAAGTGTTACTGATCGAAAAAAGTTCTAATTCCATACTATTAGAATTTGATTTCTTGAAACATATTTGATATCTGAAATAATTTAACTATTAAAAAGAAGGTTTTATTATGGAAAAAAAATATATTAAAAAAACAACTGTTAAATCTTTTGTTGTATACACTTGGATGTATAGTGTCAAGTCTGGATTACTTTTTTTTTAAATAGTGCCGAAGACTATAATTATATCTTCATAAATGGGAAATTATATCCAAATCATTACTTTAGCAACTAAACAATATGATGTTAATTAATAGATAAGCCGAATCATTATTCTTGCTTTGCTGCCACTTATTGAGATTTCAACCGGCTTGTCAGCAGGGAGGAATGTTCGGGTGGTTCGTCAGCGGCAAAATACAGGCCGGAAAGGACATCCCGCCAAACAAGAGGAGAAAAATTAAAACATTCTACTAAAAAATCATACCCGGAATTGATTAAAATACCAGTACTTATCTTTTAAAGCATAAAAAAGTTCTAGAAAAAAAGAAAGAAAATACCCAAACATCGGTTGATGTTATAGCCTCAACGTGGAATAATTATTTTTATTTTCCAATCCATGTTTAAGACAAACAGTTGTTTGACTGTAATTGCTTCAAATCAAATACAAATATTATGAACAGTGATTTCCTCAATATTATTTTGGGACAATTTGTTCACTTTATACGATTTATTTCATTTTCAGTCATAGTGGAACAGAAACTATAATTCAGACACACTTTGGATGTTTGAATGGAATTTGAATACACATTTCATAATCATTCAATAGCAACGAAAACAAAATTTTACGCTAATGAAAGAAGCACTGTTAGTGAACATCTACATTTACTCGAAAAACTACATATTGTTGTTAGATTTTAATGCCTTTTTTCAATTTGGACAAAAGAGATTAAATTTAGGTCCTCTACTTAGTCCCTTTGAAACACTGCTGCATTTGTTTTAATATACGTGTTTGCAAAACGTATTTTAAAACTAAAAATATAAAAGCACTCTTCTATGTTTTTTGTGGGGGGAGTGAAGTTTACGTACAATACTGCTAAAATATCTTTATTTTATTTTTTTTCTGTTTGTGCGGCATGGTCAGTTCTTGACGATCCGTCACTTATTAAATCACTGGTTAGTTTTTTCTATGGACTCTTTATACATGTTATATGCAGATTTATCAAAATAGATTAGCCAACCAATGTGATAGTAATCTTAACTTTTAAAATTGCATCGTATATTAGATATTTCTTCAGAAGCACGAACTTAAAAAAAGTTTTTAATCTTTCGTCTACCAAGCATCTACCATGTAAACACAGAACACAGAACAACAACACTTGATCTAATCATTAAACAAAGAAGTTATACTTTGGTTTTGTTACATTTTATTATCACGAAAGCCTGTTTTTAAAATAAGTTCATGTCTGTTACATAAACAGTGTTTGATTGAGTGACAACTTTAATTATCATTCCAATTGTGTGGATTTATATATACTATTATCTATATGATTACACAATATTAACAATATATTAGTTACAGGCATTCGTTAAAACACATTCATAGGCATATAAACTGTGATGTTTTACATGTATAACCTTGGGTTAGCAAACGGAGAATATTACATATTTAGATGTATATAAAATGCGTTGATGGTATTAATCAGCTAATGTGAATGTATTTACAGAATCAGCAGTACTTTTACAACTTGAAACGAGTTAACTGAATAGTAAAGTTTTGATTCGTAAGTTTTTCTATCATATGCGTGTATACACAATAACCATCCCTTCAAACACTGTATAACTGCATAGAAAGTAGTTTTATCATAGAAATAAATGCATGCCTTTTACAGATAAAGATGAGAAGAACTCAAGACACTAATATGACAAAAAAAAACAAAATGACATACAAGGTTACAAAAAAAAAGTGAAATTAAAGATTGTAAATTTCCTAACCCTTACACTTGGCTTAATTTGAGTTGAATACTTTTTTCAAACCAAAGGATAAACATGACTAGATCCTGTAGAATTAAAGAACCTTAAGTGACTTTAGTTTAGTCTGTTTTCCTAAATGTTTGATTCTTTTCTGTTTTGATTTCAGACAGTACTATTGTCGTACACAAAACTATTTGAAGTAACTATGGTCTTGACCTTAGCTACAAGGACATCAAAATCATTTTATCTTCTCTTTGAATGTGATCGTATATTAAGTAATATTTCAATCTTATGTATAGTATTTGATTCAGCAGCCGGAAACCACTTGTCTGCCAAAAAATTTTTTTTAGCTATTTAACGACCTTGTCATTTTTTTAGGTATTAAAAGTCAGAATCAATCAAGATAAGTTTGTGTGAGAAATCCAGTAACGATATTGATGAATATAAATTAGGTTATGTAAACCCCTTTCCTGTTTAAATTTTTGACCTTTCAAGTATTGGTGTCAAATATATCGACGTTGTAATGCTATTCAATGAATATTATGATACCGTCAAACACGACTTTAATGCTAACAAGTATGTTGAATTGCAAGGCAGTGAATATCTGCTCAAAATTTGATTTTAAATAAAATATGGCGGTAAACATCTGTATCTAAATGAACCGAAGAATGAATCAAAACATACCTAACGGTATATGTATAACACATTTCTATATAGAAAGCTCTTCAATTAAAAACAAACACTAACCTGAACGAAATTTGAGACTGAAAGTCAATTGACACAATTACATCTAGTATAAAGATAACAAAATCTCAGACGCATACAAAACGAGACAGAAAACCAAAATTAAAGCAACAACACAGAACAGGAACACAACACACAAAGAAAATAGAAAACAACAAAACATGCGCATATACATGTAGATCATACCAATTAATTAACGTTTATATAACGTTTATACATGGTCGTGTCTATTTGCAGTTGGCTTGAAAGAAGATAATATAATTGGTCACACAAGTCTAATGAGGATAAAATGACTGACGAAACGTTAAAGTGTATGGGTATTTTGCATATTTATCGATAAACTGGTTTTGTTTCCACTAGAGAAAAATTGACATTTTATTACTCAAAAACTGAATGATCAAAGTTTTGTGGAAGTAATTATATAACATAACATTTAGACAATATTTAAAAAAAAAAGAATATATATGTAACTGTAGAATATGGCAATAAATATATATTATAATTTTCTCATAATAACTCATGACTACAATTATATTATTGAAAATGTTAATAAATAAAATAGGATACAATATATAAATGTTTGCTTGATTTCTGTTTGGTCATTTTCCGTTTGAATGTTGTTTTCACGTGTGACAGTGCCAAACAATACATATGCCCTCGAATAGGAAATGAATGAGAAGGAAAAAAATACATTCCTGGATGGAAGATTATAGAACATATAAAGCTACTTCAATTATGATTGTATATAGACAATCCCCTGCTGTTGGTGTAGTTTACATTTGATTTTTACATGCTCTGCACATTTTAAAACATGCAGATAACCACATATTTATATGTATATAGTAAGTTCTCTAAAATGTTCTTGATCGAAATTCCGTTATAAGTTCACGTCAATAATCTAGGATATTGCCAATCGCACTTTTCAGACACGTTGACATTGAGAACCATAACAGATATATGCAACGTGTTTGACTTTTGTTCGGAATCAAAGTTAACATGGTACGATTTTAATTTGATGTTATGAATATGTATCTTTAAACATTCTGTTAGTGTTTGCCTATACATGAATGCAGCAACTAATAATTTACATCAGGTCAAATGGAGGTATGCGTGTTTCTTTTTTGCCTACTGTTCTTAAATATCAATTTCCATATAATGATTTGAATCTTCATACTGTTGAACAGTAATTATGTTGTCATCTATATCTTCATATCTCTCGGTAACATCGATATAATGACCAGACGTCTCTCCGTCATCGGGTTCCAAATAATCAGAAGATGCTATGTCATAAACATTCTTGTTATTTTCATCTTCCGGCGCTGCATAGTATCTATAAGAAATTAAGTTTCAAGAAATATATCTTGTTTGTTCACTACATTCATTCAAAGAGTTTTTTTTTATATTAACCATGCATTACAATCATTCGATTGAATACGGTGTGCATATCAATATATGATTGCCAATGATACAACTCTCCACAAGAGACCAAATGACACAAACATTAACAGCTATAGGTCACCGTACGGCCTTCAATAATGAGCAAAGCCCATACCGGAAAGTCAGCTATAAAAGGTACCGAATTCACAAATGTAAAACAATTCAAACGAGAAAACTAACGGTCTAATTAATGTACAAAAAAATTAACGAAAAACAAATATGTAACACAGCAACAAACGACAACCACTGAATTTCAGGCTCCTGACTTGGGACTGGCACACATATACAGAATGTGACAGGGTTAAACATGTTAGCGGGATCGCAACCCTCCCCCTAACCTGGGACAGTGACAGTGGTGTAACAGTACAACATAAGAACGAACTCATCAGACGGATACAAATAGAAATACAAATAACAAAAAACACGTGGACGTGACCGGGTATTTGTACATTCTAACAACAAAAAGACACTAAGTACAGATCTGAGAGTACTCGCGGTTACTGACAGCTAGTTCAAAGCCAGTACCAACTAATATAAAAAATTAATTATGCATCTAAGACTTAATAGTTTGGTTGTTTGTTAAGTTCTTGACTTATATGTTCACATATATATGTTGAAGATATCAACGTACATGTGTAGTACTATCGACTTTTTGCAGAACATTTTATCTCCGTCAAAGGCACTCGGAAGTCTTGAATTTGCAGTGAGGTGTTTATTTTTGCTTCATGTTGAATGCTTCAGTTAGACTAAGATATGCAGAACAACCATAACACACTGTTCTGGATTTTTTAATTTTTTTTTCTAATTTGTAAGTGAGTAAAGATTTGGTTAAATAAACTAATTATATGTTACACAATATTCCTGCGTTTCCCTTTTGCCAGTATAAAATAGGGAGACACACGAAGGAAACTCACTTATGCTTGTCTAAGGTTATATCTTGATATAATTTTCTCAAGTTCTTTATTTAAGAATGTGATGACAGTCTTTTCATCTGTTTTAAATTAAGAAACATTATTTTATTTACATATTCATGAAAAATTATCACTTATAATGAATTACTTACATTGCACCTCGTGTAGTATTGCTTTGATTTTGCTTCATAGCGTTCGCACCTAAAGCAAGATTACAATATGTTATGTCATTTGCATGTTTATTAATGTTTGCAAGGTGTTGTCTTTTATTATGTGCTTTTGTATGGATTTTTTTTATTATTATCTTGTTTTTACATGCTTGGGGATTTTTGATATGTTTATTTCGTTTCTACTGTTCAATAAAATTATCAATGTATGTAGTATTAGAATTTGAAGCCAGTTTCCTTCTTCTATATCAATATGTTAGCAAACAATTCTGAAAGCATCTTCTGCAGAAAAATATGTTTGTTATTACCTATCTTAATAAATTATCTACATGTGAATGCCTATGGATGAGTTCATACCTTGGATTGTTTTAATTTTGATGACAACTGCCGTTACTCCAACTGTTATTATAAATACGATAACACCGGTCAACACCAGTAATATGATCATGTACTGAAATTCAGATTGTCCTAAAAAAATCTCATAAGTTAGTCATGTTAGTTGATAAAATCGTTCATATATATGTGTGTTGTAAATAAGATATAACTTACAACGTAGTATTTTCATTTTGCTGCGTCATCTTAAATATTCCAATAGCTGTCAAAGTGAGTATGCTTATCTACCGAGTAGTCGTTGCTATGGAAATGAAAGGGATATATCACTAGTAAAAATTAAGTCTTAACAACAATTCTTATTTAAAAATCTTCTGAAAATTCTAAGACATAAAAAAGGTCCTAACAGAGATTAAAATGAATATAACTTTATAAATTGTGTTGCATCTCAACCGCTTGTAAAATTTAATTTCATCAGGAATTCTCAGTTTTTGTTCAGATATTTTTTCGGGCGTTCAGGCAATTGGCTTGCAGTAAATGCGGTACTGGGCAGTAGCTCCAGTTTTGTGTATTACTGTTTTGCATTGGCAAATAACAGCTACGACAGTATGACCATAAACTTAACAGATTTGACTGTTGGAAAATTGTCTGCATAGTTCTGACCACAGTGAACAAGTTTGAAAATTAAATGAATCACTGAAAATGGATAAACAATTTGTTGGTCAGGCTTTTCAGAGATGTTCATATCTAAATGGCCTTTACAGTTTAAAATTGATTTAGTTATGTATGTAAAACATAAAACATTTTGAAAAAAATTCTCTGTTTGATTGTTTTTAATTAAGTCGCCAAAACGAGGTTGTGGAGAATTACTGTTTTTGCTCAGTTCTTCATCTCAAACAATGTTTTTCCAGCTTTGGTCTCGACATAAAATACTAGTAGAACAATTTTGATACAACAATCCCATAATGTTGTAAAGATATGAAGATATGGTATAATTGTCACTGAGACATCTCCCCACCAAACACCATATGATATAGAAATAAACAACTATGTGTCACCGTACAGCCTTCAACAGTGACCAAACCCACACCGCATAGTCAGCTTTTGAAGGCCATGAAATTGTTGACAAATGTAAAACAATTCAAACGAGAAAAACTAACGAGCTGATTTGTGAAAAAACACAATGAACGAAATACAAATATGATATACAACAACAAATGACAACCACTGAATTGCTGTCCCGTGTCTTTGGACAGGCATACATAATGTGGGGGTTTAACCATGTTTGACGGGGCTCAACCGCTCCCCAACCTGGGACAGTGTTGCAACAACACAACACAAGGAGAAAACAATAAACTTTTAAACAAAATCGATATACAGAAACAAAGAAAAACAACTGCTGAATTACAGGTTCCTGACTTGGGCCAGGCACATACAGGTGTGTCGGGAATTAATATGTTAGCGGGTGTCTTCTTACCTGGTACAGTGGTGTAGCAATACAACATATAAACAAACTATAAAAATCGCTTAAAAAGGGTTGAATTCATCAGATCTATGCACAGCAGAAAAACAAAACACACAAAACACAGCTCAAAAATAACTGCCATTGCTGTGAAAAGCAAAACTGTGAAAAATCGAGAGTGTTCCAAATATAACGAAACTTTGTTGAAATGTTACTTAGTATTTGTAGATGTATCATTCATCTTTGGGATGTCCATGATATCCAATATTGCCATGGAAACTGGCGAATGGTTTAACATTGATTCCTATTGGAAAACACATTAAAGCAGCATTATCTTAAAGAATTTAAGATAAAATGAAACTTTATTGATATGTTATCTGTCAAAACTTGCTTTGATTTACATTATGGGGTTTCTTCATGATTGAAGCCGTAAGTTAACCTATAGTTGCATAATTTTACGTCATTTGGTCCTTGATGAAGAATTGTCGCATTGGCAATACTACCATATCATCTTGTTTCTATATATGTGCCAATAAGGCGTGTGTCTTTAGAAATTTAAAAAGGGCAACCGTTACAATGGAAACAGCAACATCGATTTATAAGATTTGAAAATCGGTATACTAATGTTGACTGGAATTAAACTGCAGAAGCTATGTCGTTTGTGGCTGACTGTTTTATTTGTTTTTCACTCATTCCTATTTCATGTGTATGAATCATACCGTTGGTTTTCCTTTTTTGGATTATTTCAAAGGTTGTTTCTGATGGGGGTTAATCATATAAAGCGCTTTGGGCGCACATTCATCAGAGCTTGGTCAGATATTAGTCTCAGAGGGTTTCATAAGGTCAGTAGTTAATGATGCCCTATTACATTATGTATATGATACGTTTTTTAATTCCCCCTTGATAAATTAAGAAATTATTAATTTTTTTATGACCCACCCGTTTAGTTTTATAGCTCCTAAAGGTTCTACGTATTTATATTTTCCTGGATTTCAAAGGTGTAGGTTTGTAAATAATAAAAAAAACGTTCTGGACGCACAAAATTTATAGAGTGATCAATCTTATATGATTTGCATATCTACAAATACTTTAATTGGATTGGTCCGTTTGAATTTTTTTCTTGGTTTACACTTCGATAAACCATGTTTCCGGAACTTTTTTTGTAACGTAACCTTCATTGTGATATATTCATGCGCGATACAGATGCATGGTTCAAGGGGTTCAAGCAAATGGAGATTGATAAAAACAAATATATAACTGTTATCTATATTCCAATCAATAATAAAAAGACAGTAATTAATGCCTTAAAGCTAGGAAAATCAATAAATTTACAAAACGATAAAATCCGCAAAAAAGCATGAATGAGCTTGGCGCATTATCGTCAGGGGAAACTAGACGTCATGCGAATGAAAACTCTCAAGATGAAGATTATTCTGTTTTTTGTGTGATTCGAATTTAGATAATATCTCATTAAAAAGAAGTTTTTGATGCAGGTGTTATTTCATTTTAGATT